CCGCCGCCGCCGCCGCCTTGGCGCCGGTCTCCGCGGCCGTTTACCAGCGGGACGCAAGCGGCTGCCCCAGGAGCGGGAGGAGCCTTTTAAATAAAACATCCAAATATGGAGGTTCCTTACCTGTCCCAGAACGAACCCAGTGGAAGGGATTCTTGGCGGGAAGATGAGAAGTCTCAGACTCGGCCACCGCTGTAACGTGGGAACACCTGCCTTCGAGTACGAGAGTTGCGGGGTTGCAAGCTTCTGCGAACTGGGGGTTTCTGCCTTAAACCATGGCCTTGCATTCTTAACTACTATTAGTTTCAGTTAAAGCAGTTGCAGGCAGACGCGCAGAAATCTTTCTGTTAAAACTGGGCAGAGTCTGTCTTAACAGAAGCTTGTTTGTTAATACCAAGTCAAGTCGCGTCTAGAGGTTGAGGGTTCCGAAATGGCCTAGTCTAGTGCAGAACTATACAGGATATGTCCCTAAGCAAAAATGAAAAAGAAACTACTATACCCGGTGAGCTGCCAGCATTTGGGTCCAAAATGAGATGGTTAACTCCTTACCCAAACTGACATCATGGGTCTAGAAGAAGAGAGTATATTTAAAATGCAGCTTTTTAAAAGGCTTTTATTTAAAATGTGTCTTTTTCTAGTGTAGTAATTATATTCATACCTGTTTTTAAAATAACTGTACACAGCTTTGTGACGTTTGCCTGAAATCATCCATGAATAGAATTATTAAATCCTTCATCAAAAGATACTAACAGCAACACACAACAATTCTTGAATGAAGACTTCCAACAATTAAAATGTGGAAATTGGCTTTAAATAAAAAGCAATAAGAGACTCAGTTGTTAAATGTAGTTGGCTGCATAGCTCAGTGAGTTAGGTATCTGGTTGAAGAGCTAGAGGCTGGAAGTTAAGTTCCCCACTGTGCATCCCAGAAAAGCTGACCTGTATGGTTTTGGGGAAGCTACATGGTCTCTGGATGCCACCAGAAAAAGCAACGCTAAACCACTTCTGAGTACTCCATACTTGAAAACACTTGGCTTACAACAAACATTTATTGGTATAATAGGTAGTTGATAGAAGTAAAAGTTTGACTTATTCAATTAAGGCAATTGCCTCATAAAAGATTGTTCTTAAAAACAAGCTGTTTGGTTTGTGTATTCAAGAAGAGATTAGCCAGCCTTGTAAAAACAGGCTCCTCGACCCCCCCCTTTCTCCTTGTTTTTCCTTCTCTGTTCAAGGACTTGCGCTTTTCTGAAAGTTACACTGATTTAGATAAGCTTAGGAATGCAGAGCTAACGAAAAAAACAAGGGGCCGATTTAGGGAAAGTGAATTGTTCTGCGCATGTCTAAAATGTGTTTTCACTAATCCAATGAATTGTTGCTAACTAACTTAATGACCTCAAAGGCCCACCCCTCTCGCCCTGAGGGGACAGCTATAAGACTGTACCAATTCCTTTGTTCTTTGAAGAAAACCCTAATCATCTCAATTAAGATGAATGGTTTCCTTCCCGCCAACTGCAGTGGTGTTTTGTTGTTTTGGTTTTTCATGTAAATAAAATGAACTTCAATAGAAAAGCCTTCGTGTCTCAGTCTCTTGTTTAAGGTGATTGTTTGGTATAACAATTTGGGGGCTCGTCCGGGATGCTCTAAACGCCCCGATTGGGGCTGGATTTTGATCCAGTTGAGGTCAGGCAGAACAGGCGGTGGTGAAGTGAATCGGAAGGCGCC